GAACTAGTTGAAGTTGATGTAGTTGAAGTTGATGTAGTTGATGTAGTCGAAGTTGATGTAGTTGATGTAGTTGAAGTTGATGTAGTTGAAGTAGTTGAAGTTGATGTAGTTGAAGTAGTTGAAGTTGATGTAGTCGAAGTAGTTGAAGTGGTCGTAGTGGTTGTAGTGGTGGTCTTTGTTGTTGTCGTGGTGGTCGATGTTGTCTTGGTGGTGGTGGTCGATGTTGTAGACGTTGTGGTTGTTGTTGTTATACAATCTGCAGCTGACGTTACCACAGTAAATGAGACACAATACTGTGCAGATTGCACCTGTTCACTAAATGAAGGAAAATGACACTGCAAGAGTCAACAGAGAAGTGAACAAAGGTTTACTCGGTGAAGGCAATCGTGCATAATGTCTGAGATCCAAGCTGACTTAATTGTGGTGTCCAAGTGAATATGACATAGAGTAGAGAATCATTAGTCGGCGAAGAAGTCAAATTTCCAGCAACCATGCCAGTGATGCTATTCGACACAAAGAGATCAGTAATATCAGTTTCGGTAGGATCACATTGATTCACCACGGATATATTAAAAGTTTTCATAACGCCAACTTTCACCTCCAAACAACCTTTGAGAGGAATGATGGTAGGTGATGTTGAACATGTTGGTTCTGGCATGACATAAATCAAAAATTGTACGGGTACAGAACTCAATGCAGTAGTACTCGTTGAATTAATGAAGTCTTCAACCTGTAGAAGAAAAAAACATTTGATGAATGATTTAATTGAAGGATTTTTGAAAAATAAAAAAAAAATGTTCTTTTAACTGAAAAATTCCTTACTTAGTAAGGGATGTTTGTTGTAGTAAGAATCTAATGGGTGGCGTAGAAAGAATAGGCTTCTCAGTATTTTCGGCTGTTAGATAATGGTACTATCTTGATTCACTACCTCTCTTCTATCTCTCTCTGTCGATTGGTCATTCGCCAACTATGTTTTTCTTTTTTTTTTTGTACTAAAGAAAAAAGTTAGTTGGAAAGAAGAAATAAAGTTGAAGTAGTTAGTTGTAATTGACACTAACACTGACTTATCTTGGTTACGTTTCGATGGATCGAGTAAGTCTTTTTGTTAAAGAAGGCTGTTCAATTCTCTACAAAAAGCATAACAAAGAACTCTTGAAAGAAACAACTGGAAAGTCATACACTCTCAGTATAATGATAGTGAAATATAACTCACTTTCACGCTAATGTTTTTCGATTTCGTAATGTGGAGTCGCTTGTTGATTCCATGTAGAAAAAAAAAACAAGTGATACTTTTTATAGCCCAAGAAAAACTCTATCAGTTTATCAAATCCTTTTTGCTGGCATATTGTAAATATATCCGAACAAAACATCTCATTATATTATTCTTACTCCAATATGCTCAACCCTACGCTCGTGTTTATTCAAACTTTAATTTAATTCTGTAAAATATCAATTAATACATATTCAGATTTACCACCAAATTGAAGAAAAAAAATGTCTTCTTCACAATTTCGACACGAGTGAAGAATAGAAGGAGAAGAATACTTCGCCCTTCGGCTCCGTTACGATACAGGATGCTGTTCGGAGACGGTTTCGAAAGCCCAATATTTTTCTTACGACTATTACTAGCTGCAGTTTTAGACAGAAGACCAGTCTGACTCAAAGTTCTTCCACTCAATCATTTGAACTCCTTGCACACACTGACTAACCACATACTAGCCACAAGGGCCTATATATGTCACAACGTAGTCACTCTGTTATCGTATGGATAATTCGAGACAAACAGCCGTTAATGACTTGTTCAAGATCATTTCATGTTTGATTACACCGAGACTCGAACGCAATATCTGAGTAGTACGTGCCGTCAAACAACTTAACCACTCAGCTGTAGCGGTTCGACATGAGCGAACTATTGTACTACTCTTTGTCCACGAGACATGGTGTGACTAATGATCACGATCAATATTTTGAACTCGGTTTTCAAGAACATTGGCTATTGCTTTGAAATTGGCTGAGATTTACTTATTTAGAAGAACAAAAATAACTAGTTGTGTAAAAATGCGGCGTTTGAAAGTAAAACATATTCGACTATTGTAATATTGAGAAAATATGACTTTTCAGTTATTTTTCTCGACAACTCCTTGTTTTGATATTTGTAGAAAATCGAACGGCGCATCTTTTAACAAAAACATTTGTCCCAATTCATCGAAACGTAACCAAAATAAGTTGAAAATACTGAGAAGCTCATCCTTTATGTGCCATACGTTATTTTGATGTGGAAAACATGTGTGATACTTAGCAGCGTAACTACGCAGGATTTTAGACTGAAGTGGCTTCAGAGCTTGGAGATTTCAAAAGACAGATAAATACAATGATATTGATCTACTATCCTTTTGAACACAAAGAACTACACGTGATCCATTTGGACTAAATAGGATAGCTTGAAACGAATATTTCAACATTTAGAATTTCTAAGAATCACATCCGTGCACGCCGTGCTTTCGATCAGGAAATTGAAACTTTACAGACTCCATGATCACAACCAATACAATACTATTTAATGATTCAGATCTAAGCAGTTGACTAAGAGAATGCAGATGATGCTGATGGAAATCGAAAATTCGGCAATACACGATTCAATTTTAAGTATGTAAGCAGTACACTCATTCGATTTCAAATCATCCTTCAATGCAACGTTTCATCTTAAGTTGACCTTGAAAAAAGAAAGTTCATTAACGTCCACAAAAGTTTTCGTTGATAGAATAAAACAAGCTGGTAATCAATCTGGTATTGCTCTATAATGCCATAAGAATCACAGGATCCATTCAAATGTTTGTTTATTCTAGTTAGAACAATATCAGAAACTTTTCAGCTCTTTTCGTAGAATTCTTTCCCTAGATTAGAAGGCTAGGGTCTGCCAATAATAATTAACTCATTTTGTTTGTGCGTCTGCCTGTCTGAAACATGGTTTTGTAAAGCTGTGCTCTCTTTTATATTGCGTTTGGTTTATTTTCGTTTCGGTTGATTTCAAAGTTTCGAATTTTGGAGAAGCACGATTAGTAATGAGTACTAAACTACATAGCGAAAAACCTGAACCTCTTCTCCACACTGAAGTTGTCAGATAAATCGATATACTACTATAGATTTTCAGGTCATAGCATTAAAGATTTTTTAGACTACAGAATTTTGAATTTTTGGCCCATCGATTTTTAGGATTTCGGATTACAGTATTGTGGATTCTACGACCACTGAGTGTTGGATTCTTAAGGCACAGCTATAAGAGTTTCGCCCTACAGTGTAATAGATTTTAGGACAAAGATAGCCTATTTTTTGACACTGATATTGCAAAATTTCCGGCTTCGGAATTCTGGATTATTGCACAATATGATTGTTAAGCAGTCTTCAAGTGTACAGCAAGAAAGTTAGGTTAGTCCGCCTCGTCTTACTTCCCACAGATCACGACAGAAAAGTTTGAGAATTATTCTGGACTTATGCACCGTTAGTTTTTGAAACTTGGAATTTGGGACCATGGTTTCGTTCGTTTTAGGAGTATTAATGCTTAGATTCTAAAAGCGTGGTTTTTGCATAGTTTAGAACCATGCAAATTTAGGTTTTTGAACATGCGATTGGTAAGTATCAGAAGTGTAGATGACACTGTTGTAGAAAACGAAAGATGATGTCTGATGAAGTAAGTTACATAACGGGAAAAGTAAATTCGCTGCCTAACCCCCTATCCGTGGCCCGCTCATGAACATGTGACAGACAGAGAGACTTGGCAAAGACATCTAACATCAGAGACCATGTTAGGTGTGTTGATCCGTTAGTCTGTCGTATCATCACGAACAATATGATTAACGTAGTTGAAGCTCTCAGTTACTAACAGAACAGGTACATTGTATTGCACATTTTGATTACGTTGAGAAATTTTCTTGAAATTCTTATAACATAATTAAATTTGTCATACACATCTTCATTTCAGTCCGTCCTGTCTTCCACAGATGAATATTTAGCAATAATCTGCTTGTTATTCATCTATAAACAGTTTAGCTTGTGTTAAATCCCATAATCTTTCAGTCTAGAGCCAAATGAATGGGGTCCTGATGAATCTTATTGGTTAAAATATGTTTTTAAATTACTTTATTATCGAAAAACATCTGGTTTAGAATAGATCTTTAGAAAGAATTTATCAAATTATACCGATATGAATTCATTATGGATCTATCGAGTCAGATACCTGATCTGCTTCCTGACAGTTGTTGCTGGTAAAAAAAACACGTACAGAGCTGAAAGAAATATGTAAAAATGCTCGAACAAGAGTATTTACTTGGACTCTAAACTCAACCAAAGCTTGCTACACTAGACAGAGCCCGAGCACCACATAAGTTCCACCTACTGCGAAAATACTGGTTACGTCGCTATGATAAAGATATATCAGGCGCTCTATTTTTGGAAACGATTGGCTCAGGAAACATCGCGAATAGTTGGAAAAGTCTTCATGAAAAAGAATCATAGCATTTTATTCTTTCAATAGTCAAATTAGTAGTGAGCTTTTGCAATTTTCTGACGACGTAAATGACCTAATATTTGTTCAGAGTAATTGTTTTAGAAACTGCTAGTGATTGCATTATAAGGAAATACTCCGATCTACATTAAACTATGGCTGGCTCAGCATGGCCTGGACAAGTAAAATGAGGAGCACAAACTAGAAAAGAGCCAAGATTGATGTTATTGTGTTTTTATTTACCTGAATAGCAATTGCATACCACCTATTCGGGACCATCCCCTTGAATGACAAACTGCAGTTGGATAAAGTTGTACCACTAGGTACACTACTTGGATAGCAAATGCCACCACATTCATCAATTGGCTGACGACTGGGGTAAGATATAGTTGTTGGTACAGTTCCTGGAGTTTCGACTGTAGTTGTACCGTGTGGACAATAGGATTTTGGTGCAACGCATGTATCACCACTGCAAGTGGTACCTGTGCAAGTCGAGCAACGGCATGGACACGTGTTTTTGCAATAACTATTACAAGTCTTAGTATTACATGGATCTGGAGGTGATGGTTTGCGTTTTCTTCTTATGTGAGCAGTTTCTCCATCTGAAGTTAGTTTCCTATACATGTTGACAATGCGTTCATTGTAGAACCCTTCGTATTCAGACCCTTGTCTTCGTTTTCGAGATCCGGCTGTATACACGGACCATCGACAACGAACAGTATCACCGGTATCGGCATCTGATACAGGTATTTTAATCTGAGTTGTTCGATTGACAATCACGTATTGTGGAGAAACAACAGTTGCTTCGGGTGGGGTATTAATAAAACCATCAGGTCGCATTCGAAGGTCAATGAATGTCACGATGGACCAATACAGACCATCTACCGGAGGATCGTTAAGCGCTGTCCAAGCACTGCCTTGATACGCTGCGTAAAAGTGTGCGCTAGCTGTGAGTGACATATTTACTGATCGTGAACTAGACATCATACTGAGCGATGAACTCGCTGAAACGCAGTCAGTTAAAATATTCACTGGCTTAGTGGAATAGCCACCATCGGTCGAACAGGAAGAAACACATGTTAAATTAGTATTCGCTCCGCTACGACCGCTAGTCGCTGTAGGTACCGGATTTGCACAGGCTATCGTCGGATAAGTCCATGAATACGATTGAATGATAGTAATCGGTACTGAACTCGAATTGACGTAGGGATTCACAGCTTGCCACCTAATAGTGCCACCATTGAAATGAACTCCATTGACGACAATAGAATAAAGTAAGAAATGTAGAAGCACAATGAGCATTGAGCCACTATTTCACTTAGCAAGTGAAAAGGTAAAAGTACTCTAAAGTTTACAATTTCAATAAGCATTTACCACAAAAGCTATTGAACTTTCAACAAAAAAAACAATAAATACAACTGCTTTCTCTTCCCAGTAAGAAAATATCGAGTGTGAGGCTTTGCCTGAACACATATTTTCTCTATGTGTGGGATCCGGTAAGACCACTAGAAACCGCTAAGCATACTCACATGCGTGGTCCATCACAAGTTATTATCGTTTTAATGAAATTTTCTGCTTACAGAATGGTATTTATGAAAAAACGAACTATAGAATTTCGATCGAATATTTCACCGATGGATAGGTTCCATAGTCATTAGAATGTTCTCAAAATTTTTGCCGAAAAGGATATGTTCTTGTCAGATGTCGAACGCTGAAGATCATCGGTTTTGGGTGGTTGTGAGTTGTGGTTGAGGATGTAGGTTGTGGGTGCGAGATCTAGGGGTGAGTTGAGGTTTGTGTATGATCGTCCTCTATTCACCAACACCCAGACCTGCATCCACGCCAACACCTTCTTTTTTTATTTGTGCAGAGACTTCTTTTTTTAGATACGCGATGTTACAAATAGATTGATACATCTTGGCAATGAAATAAAAATGTATTAGTTTTTGTATTTCAATAACACTAACAGAGGAACTTCCCTAAGTTTAGCTTTGCTTTTAACATGATATTTCGTCTTTATGTAGGCATCAGTGAATGCGATATGACTGCTAAAGTATTTGGTTTTCTTCTCTTGTCTCCTTCACGTGTGATTACTTCATTGAATTTTAGATTTTGTGCGTAGTCAGCTATTTTAAAATCTAATAGCATGAGCTGAGGATGAAATCTTTTTTTTTCCAGATAGACCACGTTGTTATTGAATTATTTTGACGCGTACAACAGAAACAAATGTTCTCTTACCGAGATATTGAATTTAAAAATGATGCTTATGTATTAGCAAATGAATCAAAATTGAAATCATTTGAAAGTTCAATATCTCAACAAGAAAACATTTCTTTGTGATGAAAATTTTAGGATAATAACTAACTGACAAGTTGGTCTTTCTACGGACACGATTTCAGTTGGAAATTACACTATTTGATTTTACACGAAATGGTATGCACAAGATTATTAATGCAATAAAGTACTCGTACGTCAAGAACAGAAGGGCAAACACCCAAATCCGTTTTATCGGTATTACTGAGGCGTGAGCATGACAATTGTGTGTAAGACAATTGTGTGCAAGACAATTGTGTGTACAGCCCATTATGTGCAACAGAATATATATTGTCAAAAAATGAACGCCAATCATCACAGATAAAAGTACACAAAAATAACAAAAATAAATCAAGATGAATACATCAATGAACAATTATAACATAAATGTATGAGCAGTCGTTTTTTAGTTTTTCTATATTATCAAATGAGTGACAACTTCTTATTCTCA